CCTCAGGGTCAACCTCTGCCTAGCCCCACGTCCTGACCCCTCCCCAAACCTTACCCATGCAGGAAAGCCCAGCCTCAGCTCTCCCAAATTCCGGGACACACGCAGAGTCTGAGGCAGCACCAGACGTGTACCTCTGACCCAGGATCCCAATGGCCCCACCACGGCTCGCAGCCACGCAGCACAGGCTGACAGAGCCCAAGAAGGGAGGAGCTGGTCCCTCCAGCTATCCAACTGATGGACATCAGGGCTCTAGGAACTTCTCCCTGGCTACTGGGCGAGCGAGACAGAACAGACCTCCAGAAGCCTGCCCAGGCCCACTTACTCTCAGATTACCAGGCTGCGGCCTCCTGAGGAGAAACCACAGCAACGCCCAGCCAGGCCCAGCCCCGGCCAACCCCACCAGGCCCAAGAATGGAGGAAATGGGCTTCCCAGAATCCTTGGCTGGTGAGCACTTTGCTGAGAGCCGTCAGCGTGACGGCAGCAGTCCCAAACCAGGGTGTCACCCTAACTCAGGGGCTGCACACACTGCTTCTCAAATCTGAAGGGTGTATGCTTCACGGTAACCCCACGAGGGACAGGAAGGGCAGATTCTTCTCACTTCACAGATGAGAAAAACAAATCCAAGAAAGAAAGAAAGAAAAAAATCAAAGACTTGTCTAGGTCACTCAGCTAGAAAGTAGATACAACTCTAAAGCTGGCCTCACCACTGTCCACTCTAGGCGCTGGACAACATTACTCATCGTTATGTTTCATCGGCACTAAACATTTCCTACTAGCCAGGCCCTTTGCTGGTCCAACACAGCCACTTGCCCTGTCTGAACCAAACAAAAACATGCCCTTAAGGGAGAAAACAGATGTTGAGACATTATGAATATCCCACAGGCTATCATGAAGATAAGACAAACCAGGAATGCTGGCATTCACTTAGACCAAAGGTTTTCAAAGCACAGGTCTACACAGTCCCCTGAGGACTCTGATGACCAGCCAAGAATGGGACCACTGCTGTAGACCACCATTACCTCTCCCTCTCTTCCAGGTAGGAGAGAAAACAGAAGCCCTGAAAAAGGAGGAGACATGCCTAAGGGTAGTACGTTAACCACGAGCAGAAGAACCTGAAGTCCCACCACCTCCACCGTGTTTCTTGACCCTGCTGGCAGTCACCAGGGACAAAGCCGGCGACAGACCACAAAAGCAAGGTCCACAGGGTAGCCAGGTCTTTGACACCCTGCAAGCGTGGCCCGGGTGGAAAAATGCAATTAACAAAGGGGTTCTAAACCACTTCGCAGGACAGAGAACCACCCCAGCCCCATATTCAAGCCTGTCCTCATGTGGCTCCATCCTTTAGTAACCTCACCACCTTACCTTTCCGTAGCCCTAGGCCTGCAGGCTCAGCCCCAGAGTCTCACTCTGGGGAAGGGGAAGGCCCATAGGGGTGTTTCTACATATGCTCTTGCTTCCAAGAAAGGTGGCTGCCCCTACTCGCCACATACAGGTAGAGCGTGAGGAAGTCCGAGAAGCCCAAGGGCTCATGTGCCAGGGCAGAGAGAGAGAGCAGGAGCCTGCTTCGCTTCCCATAGGCAATAATATCCCTCCTTAAAGGCCACCAGGACCCAGCAGCGGGAAACAGGAATCCTGGAACCCAGTTTACAGCCCCTAGCACCAGGCTAGGAGCTAAACAAGTGCGTAGTAAGAATCCCTGGCCTGGGACTCATCACTAGTCCTTGGGCTCATGAACTAATGCATGAATAAATGAATGAGCGAAAGAAGACCCAAGGGACTCAAATAACTTGCCCAGGGTCAGAGGAGCAAGCTGCTTCTGCAGACCACCTCTTACTACCCTAATAAGCATTTTTTTCACCATACCTCTGCCCTTCAAATATGGCACCTCAATTCATCTTTAACTTAAATGACATTTCTTTGACTAATTCATGATAGATGTTCATGGTGACACAGAAACATACGACACTCGGACCCAGACCTTGGGAAGTCACAGAGACAGCACAGTGGTAGGCAGGTGGCAGGCATCAGTGCTGTTCACCAAATGTTCCCAGTCCTCTTTTGCTCCCCACCCTGCAGGGAAGTATGTGGCCATGTGACTGCTTCGACCATTGAAATGCCGCTTCCGGGTGGAAGCTTTAAGAGCCAGGGTGAGATTCATCATGTTCTCTGTCCCTCTGTCCAAGTGACCAGGAACATTTCACTTACTCAGCATGGGTCCCACGGTGAGAACAACATAAAACAGACATGCGATGGACGTGGTATAAGAAATAATCCTTGGTTGCTTTAAGTCTCTGAGATTTGAGGATTGTTACCACAGCAAACTCTGATCTATCTAGACAGATACAGGCAATGACTCGTTCCTACTGTGCATGGCAGTGCCAGTCTTCCCATTCCCTGGCCTTAGGGAGACAAAAGCTACATCACCAGTCAACCTGCTATGTGCCCAGATAGTTGAGATGCTTTCAGAAGCAGGGAACATAAGGGCACCTGCACTGAAGAACTTACTAGTTCCTCTGTGGGCCAGGCTTGTTCAGTGTATTAATCAACTTTATTCACTTCTGAGAGGAAGGCATTATCTAATTAGGTATGAGGAAACCCGGTTCACATTCAGACCTTAAGCAAGTTACTCTGTGACCTCTCTAGGCCACAGTTTCATCATCTGTAAAATGGGACGTTAACATTATCTACCATACTATGTCGTTTCACGGATTAAATGAATGAATACAAGTAAAGCTTCTAGGATAGTATGTGGTGTAAGTCTCAATCATTAAGTCTCAATAAACTTAACTATTACTACACATTTTAAAAGCAGCAAAGGTTTCCCAGGACTGGCACAATGGCACTTTACAGGCATTGCCAAACTGAATTCTATCTCAGTTGAAGTTAAACAAGTAACAAGTCAAATCCCTGAGCGCACTGTAACCTAGAGTGAGACCTCAGGAAATGTTTCCACAACCCAGAGCTTCCATAACTCCCTGCTCCCTCCTCTCCTTGGGAATTCACTACCACCAGGACCTGCAGGGCAGGGCCCCCTCCTCTCCCACACAGAACACGTGCTTTGTCCTCCCACTCCCAGTCACCGGAAGGGAGGCGCCCTCACCTGTCCTCAGAGATTTGCACAGCTGCCCAGCTGGTAAAGGGGGGAACTTCCCTGGGCAGCCAACCCTTCTGCAGCCCCTTTCTTCCTAGAGGCTGCCACAAACCTCCAAATGCACCAGTGGGCTTGAACTCCTGTTTGCCTGAATAATGCTGCTAAGCAGAGATCAAGCTCAGATTAATAAACGCTACAGAGCATCTACTACATGTCCAGCCTGGGTTCTAAGACCACACAGAGCTGTCAGCCAGCTGTGAGCCTGGAACAATGCTTGCAACAGCTCCTGGCACCCCACAGACTCTCAACCATGCTTTGTTGAATGAACTGAAAACCATGTTTGGTAGTCCAAGCAGTGGAGTTCAGAGATGTGGGGATGCAATAAGAGGGGAGGGGAAATCCGTCTGGTAGCCTGGGCTTCCAAGGCCTGGCCCCCAGACATTATGGATCCTCAGGATGGGACAAAGCTTGGAGACAGCTGAGAGAGGAGGTAGAAGGGCAAATGGGGCCATCATGGAGGAATATGCACTTCATTCTGAGGGTGCCAGGGCCCAGGAGGATCCCTGGAAACAAGGGTGCTTTGGCCTTCCACAAGGCTGACTGAATGTAGAGGGGATGCAGGGGTGCTGGGGTGCTCTGATGGCCTAGGCCCCAGGTTTCCCTTCACCAACAGGGAAGGGTGACCCGAGCACTCTGCAGGCACTAACTTCCCCTACTTTGAGGTCAAGGGGAAGGGGGAAGGCTACTTTTGAGGATTTGGCAAGCAGCTCCACCCACTCCTATCAGCCCCAAGGCAACCCCCATCTCAGAAGAGAGGAGGACTCCTACGGAGCAGGCCATGGGAGAGAGCACACCTGCAAAGGCTCCAATGCGATGCCCTGCACTCACGGCCCAGGACGACCTGATGCCCCCAGACCCCAGCGCGCTGCTACACAGCGCCGTAGCCAGCCGCCAGGGCAGTACCGGGGCCAACCATTTCCCGACTCCTCACAGCACCGACCGCTTCAAGCCTGAGACCAACTTCTTCGTGCCTCCCGGATTCGTGTCCCAGCAGTCCCGGTACCCAAGTGTCCCTAATACACACACACACACACACACACACACAGACACACACACACACACACACCATACCCACTGGCGGCACCACCACTCCTCCCCGCAGGAGCAGTGGCCCCGGGACAAGCCAACTCCGCAGACACAGACCCAACTCGACCGAAGCTCCAGTTAGATCAGGAGTCGGGCTTTGCTCCAAAGCACAACCCCAAACGACCAGCACGGAGAAGCTGGATCACCACCTACTCAAACTCCGCCCGCCCCAAACCCGTGCAGGGCAGAGTGGTACACACCGCCGGGGTGGGCGACTTGGAGCACACTCGAGGCGGGGCAGGGAAGGGGACCGCCCTCCCCAGTCCGCGCCACCCTCCACCCCTGGCCCGAGCTCCGGGCAGCCGAGGGTCCGTGACGGAAACGAGAGGAGTGCCCAACCCAAGGCTCGAGGCTGGGGAGAGGGGCAGAGTCCAGAACCGCGGAGGTGCGACCCCTCCCTCCCCGAGTGCTCTCACTCCCGCCCGGTCGCAGCAGGCACCCATCCGGGGACACGGACAGGGCGAGGGCGGCAGAACCCCGAGCGCCAGCCGGGTCGCCCGCTGCGGCTCTCACTCCGCCCGGCGCCAGAGTTCGGCTCAGCAGGGTCCGGGCCAAGGCCTCCGGCCCCTCACGGGCAATCTGGGCAGACAAAGCCAGCGCCGCCCGCCGGGCCGCCCCCAGGGCAGGGGCGAGGGAACCGGAGGGACCTATCCTGGATATGGGGAGCAGTCCTAGTCCCCAGAGGGCGCTCAGGGGGGTCGGCCTCAGACAATGAGGGCGGCAGGGCCCGACGCTCCAGCGGGGACTCCGCGCTCTACTCACCCGGGCGCGGCGGCGGCGGCGGCGGAGGCGGCGGCGGCGACGACGATTGCAGCGGTGCGGCCGGGCTGGGCCAAGGAAGTTAGAGCAAGTTCGGCGGCGCTGGGCGGGAGGGCGCGACTCAGGCCATCCGAGCGCGGGGGCGGGGCGCGGAGGGGCGGGGCCGGGGGCGCGGCGCCCGGCGGCGGCTGAGAAAGGGGCGCCACTTCCCTGCGCCGCTCGGCGCGGCCCCGCCCTCCACGCCACGCCCCCACCGCTCGCCCCGCCCAGCCTTCCAGCCCGCGGCGGGGCAGAACCCGTGGCGCCCGGTCCCCGGCCCGCCCCTTCGTCCCGCTTTGGGCGGGGCCGCAGGCGGGGGGCGGCCCTGGTCGGCGCTCGCCTCTTGGGTAAGCGGGGCAGGCTGAGCCTGGACCCGCACCCAACGTTTGGGGGCCGGAGCAATACGTGGACGCCACGTCGGCCTTGTCACTGACCCCACCGGAACCCAGCCTGAGAGAAGCGCGAGTTGTGGGTGCCACATCTCGGGGCTACGGGGGTGACCGGGTAGAGAGGTGAGCACAGGGTTAGAAAAATGGCTGAACTGAAAGTGCTGGAAGG